ACAACAGGTTACCGACTTCATAACGGTACGTGCAGAATTGCTGAGAAAGTTAGGAGCTCCCAAAACACACAAGCTTTTATCTAGATCTCTTTTTACCATTGTGATCGGTAGCAATGATCTCTTTGACTACTTTGGCTCCCGGTCACAAATCACCCCACGCCGGTTTGTGGATAACATGCTTAGCACGCTAAAAGAAGAGATTAAGGTAACTTCCTCGGTTCCAATTCAATTCAATTTGCAATGTCTACAATTTCAATATTCCTCAACGCTATGTTCATCATTGATTCCTATTCTAGAAGTTGATTTTATCATGTTTTTTGGCAGAGATTACACATGCATGGCGCACGCAAATTTCTTTTTACCGGGGTTGGGGTGATTGGATGCATTCCTAAGGAAAGGGCTAAGAACGAAACCGAAGACTGCAATCAAGAAATAAACCACTGGGCCACCAAGTACAATGAAGGACTGGTGTCAATGTTGAAAGGGTTGAAATCAAAGCTTCAGGGCATGAACTATACATACTTTAACACCTACTCTTTAATGCAAAAAATCATCAAACACCCATCTACTTATGGTAACAACAAACAGCATAAGAGCTTTTTGTAGTTCCTCTTTACATTACTTAACTTTGCTGGTGAAGTTTTAATATAGATTGATTCTTGAATTCTGTTGCAGGATTCAGCGAGATTAAGTCTGCTTGCTGTGGGCTTGGGAACCTTAAAGCGATTGTCCCCTGTTTGCCTATTGCAAACTATTGTCCTAACAGGAAAGATCATTTGTTCTGGGATCTATACCATCCAACAGAAACAACTGCTCGGATTTTTGCTGATGCAATTTATGACGGTTCGTCTGAGTATACATTTCCGATAAATTTGAGGCAGCTGGCTTCTGCCCCCTGAGGCTGGATTATAGAAAAGCAGGAGGCATTCTCTAGGGTAAAATGTCCCACAAAGCATTTGTATCAGTAGCAATACTATAAATTTATCAAATTTATAGGAGTTAAAAGAATTGAAAATACAGAATTCTTTGATGCTCATTCCAAGTATGGTATCAAAGTAAATGTATGTTTCAAATCCTAATAAAATTTTTGGCTTCATTACCTCTTAATTGGCTTCTGAAATGTACCATAAGGGCATGCTTTTAGGATTCATAAGGCAATAAATCTCCAAAGAAGATGTTGAGATCACCCTTGAGAACATCAGACGCCAACATTTTATCCAGTGCAGCCTGCATTTTTTTTAGCTTAAATGGTGAGACCCATGTCTGTAAAGAACAAAGAGATGTGTTATTGAATAGTAGTCTTTTTCAAAGGTCTAGATTCTAAATACAAAACCTGATATTGCTGGTCATGGGTTGATATATTCTGATTGTTCAATCGTGCAACACGTTTATGGTTTCTAATAGCATCCAGTACTTGCGCTACTCTCTTTATTACTTCATCTGGGACACCTACATGTGACAAGCAATTAGTCCCACAACAAGGAGACATGTAGCCTCTTAAGACTTCTCAAATTTTCAAGGTCTAGTATCAGGGGCGGAGGCAGAAGTTTTTTTCAGGGGGGCAAAATATTAAAATTTTCAAAGTTTAGGGAAGGCTAGATAATTTTTCATATGTTAATTGGCAAGATTTTCAAATTTCAGGGGGGGGGGCGAGCGCCCCCTCGCACCCCTTGGCTCCGCCACTGTCTAGTACAGGCCTCAGGAACCAGTTTCTGAAACAAGCAACCCATTTAAATAACTACAAACGGTCCCGTTCACAGGCATCAAGCAAGGCTCCATTCAATGGTGACAACTATAGTTGTTAAAATGGCAAAGAACGGATTTGTGGGGAGTTTTTCCATTTACCTATACCCCGATATTTGGACATCACTAAATGTGAAAATGATATCCAACTAGGATCGGCTATATGGGATTTTGCTTAGTCTGAATCCAGTTCTTATTTTTAATACCCATATTGTTGAATTTCTTGCAAGCAAGACATACAGAAAGAAGGTCTAAAAAAAATCAGACAAGATAATATCTCTATAGTTATCAATATTTTTTCATTAACGATCTAAATAATTCATTAGTAATTTTTTTTCTTTAAAAAAGAAATGTTAAAATTGACTACATGAGAAAAAAAGTTAAAAAATAAAAGAAAATTATTTTTAATTATGAATTTAATATTAAAAAAAATTCCCATCTCAAATGCACAAAAATTTTTAATTAATCAAAAATAATTTATTCGTTTAAAAAATTAAGCTACCATCAATATTCAAACTAGTTAAGATTTAGTCTCTAAATCGATAAATCAAAGTAGCTACCCACTCTAATTATGTGTCAACTGTCAAGCAGATAGCTACGGATTCAAGATGTGCTCATATTTTGGTCTGGTACAAGATAGGAGTAAGGGGACTTGAAGCTAAAACAATTAATTTTGAAGGTGATCTGAACCTAACTATATGAAAATGTGAACTAATATAAAAGTTGATTACCCCCCACCCCTCTAATGAATCATAGACACATTTTCAATAATAGACTGAAATTTGACAAATTAATTTCTGTTGATAATAATTTTGGTACTTGAAAATTTTTTTTATTTTATCATTAGTCAACTTTTACACATTTATTTTTGTTGTTTAATTAAAGATAAGCAATTCATATTAAAATTAGAAAAATCATTTTCTTATGAACTTCTTAAAAATTAAAAGAATAAAATCATGATAAATAAAGTCAACAAACTCTTTATCAACTAGAGCATCACTCTTTAGATAATTTGAAAACTTAAATAATTGGATGCCCATAATTACATTTCGTTAATATTTCAAAAGAGTTTTTTTACTTTGTGCCTTAACAGTTTCATTTCATTATAAATTTATATAAAAAATAGAATAATTGATATTAATTACAATATTGTTATTACATAGATGAATTTAATTAGATAATTGACACATTAATAATTAATTTTCATTTTTCTAACATAAATTTATGATAAAAAATATAATTATTATATTCTTAAATTATATCTTAAAGGTATATGTTAAAAAAAATCATTTTTCAAAATGGGCTTGAAATTAAATTAGCATATGAAGAGAGATAATGAACAAATGGTTTTCCTTTTGAGCAAACCCTTACACCAGCCAAACTATCACTCGATCAGTAACGTAATTTTGTTGGAACTTGAAATAATTGATTGCCCATAAATTCCATTCTGATGAGATTCCAAAATGGGCTTGAAAATTTCAAGTTAGCATGTCCAGGCAAATAAGAAGTAAAAGTCAAGAAAAGTGATTCTTAATAGATAACATAGAAGAACAATAGTTATGGTTTTCAACTTTCAACAACGTTAAATTGCAAAACAAAGACTATTAGTTAGGGAGGGCCGGGTTCACTTATGATTAATTTTATACAATTTGACACAGAATGAATTATAGAGAACATTTTGAATTTTTTTTTTATATTTGATTTAGTTATCTTATTTTATTTATTACTAGTTTTTTTTTGCCCGTGCGATTGCACGGGTGTGGTTTTTTATTTTTTTCATTTATCTTTAATTGTGTTTTTTTTTTTATTTGGTAGATTATATTTATGAAATATCAATGATATAACAAAGAAGAATGAATATTCATAAGAAAGTATTTGAATATCATGCTTTATTGTTATTATTTAATAGTGACTTGTAGTAAAATATTAAGAGCTTTTTATTATTCAATGGTTACTTGTGGGAGATCATTAAAAACTTTGTAATAAACAATGTTTTCTGTGTAGCCTTCATGGTTTTGTTTATCATAACCAATGAAAATCTTTAGA